CAGGACAGATTTGCATACTTATACTAGTGTGGCGCTGGCTGAGCACCTATAAAGCAGAATTATGCCTCCTGTCCTTTACAGCCAAGGAGGTATCAATATTTAGTCTCTGGTTGGAAGTTGCCATGGTGCTGCACATGTGATCAGTTATGACTCCAGCCATTTGATGCTTTGACATTCCAGTTGAAAGCACAAGCAATTGTGAGAGTTTTCATTCATGACATGCATTGAATGTAACTGTTTTGGGAAATGGTTAAGTTGATGGGTTTAAATTCCACTTTAATTTTTGGTTTCACCCAGCAGTGCTCTCAATTCCTCGGCTACAAGAACACTTTTTTTTTCTTCTAGCCTGCTGATGGACAGCCTAGGGAGAAAGAAATGGTAGAATGGACAGTTATTGGCTGTTGCTACATCTAGGGCTGAATGCTCCTCTGACAAAGTAGCAAGGAGGTTTTCGATTGACTGTTTAGCCAGGAAGTTAAGCTCTGTTTACCGCCTAATGGAGGAGGGGAGAAAGACCAATGTCAGATTGTAAGGCCAGGACCCACGAGGGAGAAAGCACCAAAATATGAGGGCCACGCAAGGTTACATAGTTTCATAGTTAGTCTGGCTGAAAAAAGACAAAAGTCCATCCAGTTCAATCATTAAAAAAAAAGAAAAAGTTATAATCCAACACCCACAGTTGATCCAGAGGAAGGCAAAAAAAAAAAACCCCAGCAAAGCATGATCCAATTTGCTCCTGCAGGGGAAAAAATTCCTTCTTGATCCCCCGAGTGGTAATCGGATATTCCCTGGATCAACTTTATCTATAAATGTTGCCCATGGGGATGCTGTAGACTGAGCTGGACATGAGACCTGGTCACTGCCAGGTCCACAGGTGGAGGACTGGAAGATTACTAGTGGCAGGGACTTGTGTTGAGAATGGGTGTAACACCAATATGGACTTTTGCTGAGCTGGGAGACAGTGTACAGGGCTCAGGGCTGCTAAACTAGCTGGACTAGTACTGCTGGTGAGAGCTTCTGAGCCATATGTTGCTATGACCGGTGCTAAATTGGCTGCTAAACCTGCTGCTGCTGACTGCTGTCTGGAGTCTGGAGGATAAGTCTTGGAGCCATGTATTGGAGACTGTGTCCTGACCATGTGCTGTTGGAGCTATGCAGAGGTTTGCCTGGAGGTCCAGGGGGAAGACTTTGGACTTACTCTCGTTGACACCACATGCTGTGTTGCTACCTCATAGGGCTCAAGGCACTGCAGGAAAGTCATCCCCCTTAAACTGCAAAGGCAATGGATGGCGGTGTTCACATGTCATGGTCGTCATGCTTTGCACCCATAGCAAAAAGGGCTGAATCAGGATGTGTCACATACACTGCATGCAGTTGCAGAGCAGTAGTGCACCATTGTGTGATTTAATGCCATTTGTTTCTATGATTACACTTCATGTCAATGTCGTAACCAGTTGTGTATAATTTGGGCCACTATCCACCTCCCCCCAGTGGGAGGAACCTGCCTAACACTATATGATTTCACCATTTAGCTTTATAAAGACTGTTTGTGTAGCTATCAAGATTGGCTCTGAGGAAGAGGGGGTTGTCCCTCAAAACGCATCAGCCATCTAAGGGTCTTCTCGAGGTTTGAGAGTTGACCTTGTGACTCTTTAATGCCATTTATTTCTATGATTACACTTCATGTCAATGTTGTAACCAGTTGTGTATAATTTGGGCCACTATCCACCTCCCCCCAGTGGGAGGAACCTGTCCAACACTATGTGATTTCACCATTTAGCTTTATAAAGACTGTTTGTGTAGCTATCAAGATTGGCTCTGAGAAAGAGGGGGCTGTCCCTCAAAACGCATCAGCCATCTAAGGGTCTTCTCGAGGTTTGAGAGTTGACCTCGTGACCTGGTCGCTTTGGATATTATTATGCCTTTGACACAGAGTTGTTAGTGAGTATATATTTTGTTATTTTAATAAAAACTTTATTCTCAGGTAATGCACTTGGCTGATGTGCCCTTTCTTCCATTGTTTTTGCAGTGAACTTGTGTTCTCCCCCAACCCTTAGAGGACATCAAGGCCTGTGTTGGCAATGGACACTTAAAGACCAGTATTTGTCATATCATCCCACAATTCTTGAGCGCAAGGGACTTCTTTCTGGTTTTCTCCTTTTATAGTGCACCGTTGACAGGGTTAAAGCAGGCAGGGAGGAGGTGTCATATCATCTCTTCTCTACAAGTCACATGTGTCTGAAAAGTGACCTGAATGCTCCAATGCTGCCACGCATCTAAACCTAGCCTAACAGCAAAATAAGGTGGGTGTGATGGCATTCATTATTCTGCTTTGCTATAATAAAACCATGGAATCCCCTATAAAAGAACAAAAAAAAAAAAGTTATTTATCCATTATTACTTCCGGAGTTTTTTTAATACTCTGACTTGCCAACCAGCAGCACCACTAGTCTGTGCATACCCTGATCATGTGTGCTTTATATACTTAATCAATAAGTGAGCCCTGAGATCTTTATTTTTAATTATTCCTTCACCAAGAATCAATCTCATAATCAGTGATTTTTTTATCTAGTCAATACAGCTATTAAGCCTCATTAAAATGAGTTATTGTTCCATCATTAAACAGCTGTGATTGATGGAACATTGATGATACAAAAGAGGATCTGTAGTTTTAGGTGCCAAGATCTCAGCGCTGTGATATCTTGAGTTGGCTTTCAGTGACAGTGGCTGCAGTGCCTGACAAGCTACTTATGGAATGTTAGAGGTTTATCAGCATTAGAAGTTAGGTTGAAGATTATGGTAGAATTTTTATTAGGGTTGAAGATTTAATCAGAACACCATTAAAAAAAACCCAAAAACTAAAAAAAATAACTAAAGTAAATAAAAAAAAAAAAATCAGCTTTTGCTGTAATACTAATCTTTAATCTAGGTTTCTCCTACAGTAATGTTTTTCTGCCACTAGATGTCACCTGATTGAATGACAGTATCATCAAGCCCACTTCCTCTGATCCCCAGTACTATTGCTCTGAAGATTTGAAAAGCACTTTTTAGTGCAGGACTAAAGATCACAACGGACTGGCCAAAAGAAATTTTGACTTCAACTTGGAACTGATACTTCCTTTCAAGCACAATATATTCTTAGTCTTCTGGGTTAAAGGAAATCAATGGTTGCAGCATACACTTTCATTTTATAACATAATTGTAATGCAATACAAACAATAGTTACTTTTGACAACCCAATAAAAGCTTACTTGAAAAATCTCTTTTTTATGTTGTGAGTGTTGTGTGTCTGTTGGCCATCTCTTTCCACAACTTCTTGGCTTTGCAGCTTCTTGTCTGCTGTTTAATTCCAATATCTAAGGACTACATATCTCATGGTACCTTGACGCCTGCAAACAGTGATTCCTGTACTGACACCACTTCCTGAAACTCCGCCTCTCGGCGCCTCTGTACTTCAAAAGGCAGGCTCTGTAAAATGTTTAGCACTCACAGGGTATAGTGACTACGTGACCCAGAATTCAAGGAACTAAATGTGTGCGGAAATTCACAAAGTATGATTACAAAATGTCAGGAATGGACTTGCCAGTAATGGTGGGACTCACCTGCCTTGTGGGCTGCAGTACCAGGGCTGGCCAGCGGGTGCTCCCAGCAATCAGAGACTCAACCCTGCAGCCAGCCAAACACCTGAAGTTGATTATGCAGGTGTATTTAAGGGATGGCCAGACCTGCAGTCTCTGCCTTGGTGTGTGTTGTTTCCTGCATCCCTGTTCCTGTTCCTGTCTCTGTCTCTGTCTGATTCGTTGCTGACCCTGCCTGATCCGGACCTCTGCTGACTTCTCCTGTTTTATCCCTGGCTTGTGACCCCGACCATTCTCTGCCTGACCCCCTGTACCTACCTGCCCGATTGTTATTGACCCGGCCTGCCTGACGATGCAATGCATTGTATGTACTGTTATCTGTGGGTGGTTTGGTTCGTTTGCACTGTGTTATGTTTTAGTATTGCACTGCGTTTATGTTTGTATTGTTAGTGTTTAATAAATTATATTGTTTATAACTTATCTGAAGCCTGCGTTTCCCTGCGTCAGTTCACATACCTCTGGTCATACCCCTGGAGCTCTGACATTACACCAAGGCCAGTCCTGACCAGAAGTGGCTGCACAGGGAAGCCATCTTGGCTTGTTGCTGGGAAGGATGGATCTTGATGAGGTTGTGTATTTATCTCTGCTAGTGTTTGATGACAGAGAGTATGCTTATCAAACTCTGAAGGAGTATCCCAGGGATGAACTGCTAGAATGTATACGGATCGCTCATTGCCTAGTAGATCAGGGCACAGAGTTCTCTGAGGTGCAGCCATTGATTCAGGTTTGTGCTGAGTTGGTTTCATCTGGTACCCCCGAATGCAGGGATGAATTTTTGCCCCCATTTAGTGCCGACCAGGTAGAGTCCCTGGTATGGTTATTAGAGGATGATGTGGATTACTTTCTGGAGCGTTATTCTGCATGTTCACAACAGGTACTAAGAGATTGTATAAACGCAGTGCAGTCTTTGGTCAGACAGGCTTTGTGTAAGCTGAGCTTTGTTCAACCCATACTGCAGACATGGTCAGACTTGTTGCACCCAGCCTCAGTCAGCTTGCAAAAACCCAGTCCTGCTTCTAATCTATTTCTTCAAAGCTCTATTGCTGCATTCCCAACAGCACCTCCAGTTACAGCCCAGTATACCCTGCTATCTACCGCATGTCAGTACCCTGTTCCCACTCGCTGCACCTATTCTGCCTTCAACCCTGTAAAGAAGCCCTCTGTAGCAACTGTTCCCTCCCCTGTTCCATCCTCCAGCTCTTCTCTGTCTCCAGCTGCTCCATCCGTTTACAAACCTGCGCTTACTTACGGTGCTCCGGTAACTAAAACCAGGAAAAGGCGAAAGTTCTTTCCAACCAATACCATCCTGCCAGTATCCAAACCGGTCAGCCTCCCATCTGAGAACCTGCCTTCCGTGGTGCAGCCTTGTGCCTCGGCGCCCACAATTCAGCCTGATGCCTCTACCCAGCCTGATGCCTCCACCCAGCCTGATGCCTCCACCCAGCCTGATGCCTCCACCCAGCCTGATGCCTCCATTCAGCCTGTTGCCTCCATTCAGCCTGTTGCCTCCATTCAGCCTGATGCCTCCATTCAGCCTGATGCCTCTACCCAGCATGATGTTTCTACCCAGCCTGATGAACTGATCCAGCCTGATGATTCCATTAGGCCAGCTGACTCGATGCCCGCTGTCGATCCAGACGATCCGGTACCTGATGACCCAGTACCCGCTGTCATGCCTGGTGACCCGATGCCCGCTGTCGAGCCAGACGATCCAATGCCTGATGACCCAGTGCCCGCTGTCATGCCTGGTGACTCGATGCCCGCTGTCGGGCCAGTGATCCAATGTCTGACCCAGTGCCCGCGGTCATGCCAGTTGACTCGGAGCCCACTGTCGTGCCTGGTGACTCGGTGCCCACTGCCTTGCCAGATGACGCGGTGCCTGCTGGCGAGCCAAATGACCTGATGCCTGGTGACCCAGTGCCCGCTGTCATACCTGGTGACCCGATGCCCGCTGTCGAGCCAGAAAATCCCATGCCTGATGACCCAGTACCCGCTGTCATGCCTGGTGACCCGATGCCCGCTGTCGAGCCAGACGATCCAATGCCTGATGACCCAGTGCCTGCTGTCATGCCTGGTGAACCGATGCCCGCTGTCGGGCCAGACGATCCAATGTCTGACCCAGTGCCCACGGTCATGCCAGTTGACTCGGAGCCCACTGTCGTGCCTGGTGACTCGGTGCCCACTGCCTTGCCAGATGATGTGGTGCCCGCTGGCGAGCCAAATTACCTGATGCCTGGTGACCCAGTGCCCGCTGTCATGCCTGGTGACCCGATGCCCGCTGTCGAGCCAGACGATCCAACGCCAGATGATCCGGTGCCCGCTGTCGATCCAGACGATCCAGTACCTGATGACCCGGTGCCCGCTGTCGTGCCAATTGACTCAGAGCCCACTGTCATGCCTGGTGACTCGGTGCCCACTGCCTTGCCAGATGACGCGGTGCCCGCTGGCGAGCCAAATGACCTGATGCCTGGTGACCCGATGCCCGCTGTCATGCCTGATGACCCGGTGCCCGCCGCTCCGCCTGTGGGCCCGGCGCCTGCCGCTCCGCCTGGGGGCCCGGCACCCGCCACTCTCCCGCCTGGGGGCCCGGCGCCCGCCACTCCGCCTGGGGGCCCGGTGCCCGCCGCCCCTCCTGGGGGCCCGGTGCCTGCCGCTCCACCTGAGGGCCCGGCGCCCGCCGCTCCACCTGGGGGCCCGATGCCTGTCACCCCGCCTGGGGGCCTGATGCCTGTCGCTCCGCCTGGGGGCCCGATGCCTGTTGCTCCGCCTGGTGGCCCGGTGCCTGCTGCTCCGCCTGGTGATCCGGTGTCCAGCTCGATGTGCCTTTGCCCGGAGTCCTGCCCAGAGTCCTGCCCGATGTGCCTCTGCCCGAAGTCCTGCCCGATGTGCCGCTGCCCGGAGTCCTGCCCGATGTGCCGCTGCCCGGAGTCCTGCTCGATGTGCCTCTGCCCGGAGTCCTGCCCGATGTGCCTCTGCCCGGCCTCCTACCCCTGACCCGATGTGCCTCTGCCCGGAGTCCTGCCCAATGTGCCTCTGCCCGGAGTCCAGCCCGATGTGCCTCTGCCCGGAGTCCAGCCCGATGTGCCTCTGCCCGGAGTCCAGCCCGATGTGCCTCTGCCCGATGTGCCGCTGCTGCCCGGAGTCCTGCCCGATGTGTCGCTGCCCGGAGTCCTGCCCGATGTGCCGCTGCCCGGAGTCCTGCCCGATGTGCCGCTGCCCGGAGTCCTGCCCGATGTGCCTCTGCCCGGAGTCCTGCCCGATGTGCCTCTGCCCGGAGTCCTGCCCGATGTGCCTCTGCCCGGAGTCCTGCCCGATGTGCCTCTGCCCGGAGTCCAGCCCGATGTGCCTCTGCCCGGAGTCCAGCCCGATGTGCCTCTGCCCGATGTGCCCCTGCTCGGAGTCCTGTCCGATGTGCCGCTGCCCGGAGTCCTGCCCGGTGTGCCGCTGCCCGGAGTCCTGCTTGATGTGCCTCTGCCCGGAGTCCTGCCCGGTGTCCTGCCCGGTGTGCCGCTGCCCGGAGTCCTGCCCGGTGTGCCGCTGCCCGGAGTCCTGCCCGATGTGCCAGTCTTTGATATCCCGCCAGTTACCAGACCCGGGCGGTGGAACATTTTGCCCAGCTAGGACTGAGCCCGCTCCTTGACGGGGGGGTACTGTCAGGAATGGACTTGCCAGTAATGGTGGGACTCACCTGCCTTGTGGGCTGCAGTACCAGGGCTGGCCAGCGGGTGCTCCCAGCAATCAGAGACTCAACCCTGCAGCCAGCCAAACACCTGAAGTTGATTATGCAGGTGTATTTAAGGGATGGCCAGACCTGCAGTCTCTGCCTTGGTGTGTGTTTTTCCTGGGCCCTGTATCTTGCTCCTGCATCCCTGTTCCTGTTCCTGTTCCTGTCCCTGTCCCTGTCTGATTCGTTGCTGACCCTGCCTGATCCGGACCTCTGCTGACTTCTCCTGTTTTATCCCTGGCTTGTGACCCCGACCATTCTCTGCCTGACCCCCTGTACCTACCTGCCCGATTGTTATTGACCCGGCCTGCCTGGCGACGCTTGCATTGTATGTACTGTTATCTGTGGGTGGTTTGGTTTGGTTCGTTTGCACTGTGTTATGTTTTAGTATTGCACTGCGTTTATGTTTGTATTGTTAGTGTTTAATAAATTATATTGTTTATAACTTATCTGAAGCCTGCGTTTCCCTGCGTCAGTTCACATACCTCTGGTCATACCCTGGAGCTCTGACACAAAGATTGTTCATATTAATAGTAGGCTAGAAAAAACTCAATTTGGAAAGGAATATATAATTTTCCATGTAGACCATAGATATGCTTTAAATGATAGCCAGCATTTTGCAACTTAAGGTGTCATCATCACACTGCCTGGACATAGAGTATTACAGGAAGGCATGACTCTCAAAAATCAGTAGGCAGCTCTAAATTTCACCCATGGAACCGCTGGTGAAGATGAGGAAGGACCCATGACATCATAGGACTGACCAGAAGACCCTTGGATACAATTGTAAACAGGGGCGGACTGACCATTTGGAAACTCAGGCACTGCCTGAGGGCCCGGGGTCAGTAGGGGGCCCCATGAGATGCCCCTGGTACCTTTTTCATAGGCTTTTTTGAGTTTGGGCAAGGACACAGGGCCCCACGATCCCCTATTGCCCGGGGCCCCATGAGTTGTCAGTCCACCCCTGATTGTAAATATATAAAATGTGCTTTAAATATTTATGTATAGTTGTGGGCAGGGCCTACTGCATCTGTGCATTGGGGGTACCTTTCCCTGAGGGTGCCTTCACCAATGCCCAGAGCCAGGAGGGGACTGCAGTCATGTACAAAGTCTAACATTAAGGCAGTTCCACTTAGAGATGAGCTTTCACTGCAAGGAGCAATGAAGTGGAGTTCCTATGCTAAGTGATATCCCAGAGCTCTACACACCGTGACTTCTACACACAGTGGTGGACCGAGTCACTCCATCGCCACCAGCCAGTGTACCTCTGTTACCTCACTCCCAGTAACAGAATGGGGTCCTGCCAGACACATAGTTGAATAGTTAGTCTGGCTGAAAAAAGGCAAAAGTCCATCCAGTTCAACCAAAAAATTTTTCTAAAAAGTTATAATCCTATTCCCACAGTTGATCTAGAGGAAGGCAAAAAACCCAGCAAAGCATGTCCAATTTGCTCCTACAGGGGAAAAATTCCTTCCTGATCTCCCAAAAGGCAATTGGATATTCCCTGGATCAAACTTTACCTATAAATGTTGGTGTCCAGTTATATTCTGTGTATCTAGGAAAGCATACAGGCCTTTTTAAAAGCAATCCACTGAGTTGGCCAGAACCAACTCTTGAGGGAGTCTATTCCACATTTTCACAGCTCTTACTATAAGGAAACCTTTCCAATTTGGAGATTAAATCTCTTTTCCTCCAGATGTAGAGAGTGCCCCCTTGTCCTCTGTGATGACCTCAGGGTGAATAACTACACCGAGTTCATTATATGAACCACTGATGTATTTATACATGGAGATCATATCCCCCCTTATGTATTATACATGGAGATCATATCCCCCCTTATGTATTATACGTGGAAATCATATCCCCCTTATGTATTATACATGGAGATCATATCCCCCCTTATGTATTATACGTGGAGATCATATCCCCCCTTATGTATTATACGTGGAGATCATATCCCCCCTTATGTATTATACGTGGAGATCATATCCCCCCTTATGTATTATACGTGGTGATCATATCCCCCTTATGTATTATATGTGGAGATCATATCCCCCCTTATGTATTATACATCGAGATCATATCCCCCCTTATGTATTATACATGGTGATCATATCCCCCTTATGTATTATACATCGAGATCATATCCCCCCTTATGTGTTATACACGGTGATCATATCCCCCCTTATGTGTTATACACGGAGATCATATCCCCCCTTATGTGTTATACGTGGAGATCATATCCCCCTTATGTATTATACGTGGAGATCATATCCCCCCCTTATGTATTATACGTGGAGATCATATCCCCCCTTATGTATTATACGTGGAGATCATATCCCCCCTTATGTATTATACATGGTGATCATATCCCCCCTTATGTATTATACGTGGAGATCATATCCCCCCTTATGCATTATACATGGTGATCATATCCCCCCTTATGTATTATACATGGAGATCATATCCCCCCTTATGTATTATACATGGTGATCATATCCCCCCTTATGTATTATACATGGAGATCATATCCCCCCTTATGTATTATACATGGAGATCATACCCCCCCTTATGTATTATTATACATGGTGATCATATCCCCCCTTATGTATTATACATGGTGATCATATCCCCCCTTATGTATTATACATGGTGATCATATCCCCCCTTATGTATTATACATGGAGATCATATCCCCCCTTATGTATTATACATGGAGATCATATCCCCCTTATGTATTATACATTGGAGATCATATCCCCCCTTATGTATTATACATGGAGATCATATCCCCCCCTTATGTATTATACATGGAGATCATATCCCCCTTATGTATTATACATGGAGATCATATCCCCCCTTATGTATTATACATGGAGATCATATCCCCCCTTATGTATTATACATGGAGATCATATCCCCCCTTATGTATTATACATGGAGATCATATCCCCCCTTATGTATTATACATGGAGATCATATCCCCCCCTTATGTATTATACATGGAGATCATATCCCCCCTTATGTATTATACATGGTGATCATATCCCCCCTTATGTATTATACATGGAGATCATATCCCCCCTTATGTATTATACATGGAGATCATATCCCCCCTTATGTATTATACATGGAGATCATATCCCCCTTATGTATTATACATGGAGATCATATCCCCCCTTATGTATTATACATGGAGATCATATCCCGCCTTATGTATTATACATGTTGATCATATCCCCCTTAATCTCCTCTTCTCAAGAGACAATACATTCAGTTCCTCTAATCTTTCCTCATAGCTGAGCTCCTCCATGCCTCTTATCAGTTTGGTTGCCCTTCTCTGTACTTTCTCCTGTTCCCGAATGTTCTTTTTTGTGAATTGGTGCCCAAAACTGAAC